AGAGAGAGAGAGAGAGAGAGAGAGAGAGAGAGAGAGAGAGAGAATCAGAAATATTTTAGGAACACTCCAGTTCTCATGGCTTCCTGATGACTAAATGGTAACTGATAGGTTTTTCAGTGCAGAAAAGAGACAGGAAAGATAAAAGAAGCCTTTATTAGCTCCAAAGACATGCAGAGGATCGAGGGCAGTTGGGGCAGGTAGATCCTCTGGCCTGAGACAAAGAAAGCTAAGGACTTTAGTTAGGGGTGGAGTTGGAGGGGGGCATTTAGAAATATCTGAGGAGCTGATTGGGGTTTTTCCTGTGGCATTGGGAAGGGTGAAAGGATACTGCACCCTGGACTGGGTTGGAGAAGAAAGGGAGACGGGAAGATAAGCTGTTGTTTTAAGGGCTTCAGCAGCATTAGATGACACCATAATAATTCAGCGATTCATACTAGGGCCAGAACCTGTCATTAACTAATTTCTTAGTCCGGGAACAGGACTTCAAAGGGTGTCCTATTAGAGGGCTAGGAACCAGAACCCTGTCCCATCTCCACGTCCCCCGCTCCCTCAAGCTGGGGCTCTAGATGGAACACCACTGCCAGAGCTGAGCACGATGAGTCATGAGGGGTCAGTGGTGGCTGTCGCTAGAGGGGCCCAAGGACGTGCCCAGAGTGAGATGGGGAACTCTGCTGCCCCACCCTCGGGGTAGGTCAGAGGGTCACTGACTCCACTACAGAAAAAGAATCTTGAGGAGGCATCAATAAGATGCATAATGGGATTTATGAGGCGTACTTTTTTTCTTTCTTTTTTGAGACAGGGTCTTACTACGCAGTCAGGGCTGGCTTTGAGTTCCTGGCAAACCTCCTGCCTCAGCCTCCAGAGCGCATGTGCTATCATATCCAGCTTGGCACAATTTTTCTTTTTTGGCCAGCCAGCCCGGTCCTGTGCAGGTGGCATGTGGTGTGGGGGATCAAACCACAGCCCCCTGCAGCTGCCTAAGCTTGCCTAAGCAGGCTCTTTAGACCAGTGAGCTATCTTGCCAGCCCTAGGCACAATTGTTAAAGTAAAAACTCAAGAGTGAAGGCCAGAGAGAGAGAGAGAGAGAGAGAGAGACACACACACACACACACACACACACACACACACACACACACAGGCTCATGGCCTTCACCTATAATTATGGGTGATTTAGGAATGGAAGTCTGTAGAATCTGTGACTCTGGAGAGGGGATGCAATTTATACTTGACGGGTGACAGCTCTGGGGGGAGGATGGTGGTGCATTCTTAGAGGGAAGCCATCCCAGGGACAGAACTGCTTCCCTTCTCCAGGGAAAGGTCAGCCTTACAGGTGAGAAGAGGTGACCTATTTGTAGGTAACAGACCCATTTACAGGCGAGTGAGAAGGCCCCAGCTCATCTGCAGGTCCAAGGAAATGGCCCAGGCTTACTGTGTTTTGGGAGAAAAAAAAAAAAAGATCTTTTAAAAATTGGGCTTATGCCTTGAAGCTGCAGGGGTTTTTTTGTTTTGGTTTGTTTTTTCGTACCAGGGATTGCACTCAGGACCTTGCACTTATACTACTGAGCTATCTCCCCGGCCCCCTGCTTTTCATTTTTAAAGTTATGTTTTCCTTGTCTCCTTTCTCGCTACATTAGTTTACTCTATCCTACCTTATCCCCGCACCCCCAGATTTGGAGACCTTATTCTGCAGTTCCTCTGCAGCCTGAGGAATATAATACTTCTTCTAACCGCATCATGCTGAAGTGGGGCTGACCTTACCTAGCCAGGAATCAGAAGTCTCATCCTGACTGACCTGAAAGAGCCAGGAAGGTAGCGTTGGCTAGCAGCACGTCACTGAGGCTGCCGGAAGGAGCTGACACTGCATTGACCTGTGAGTGCAGGCTCCGCAGTGCACAGGACACTGTCACAGAGTTGTCACAAAGAGACCCAGCACTGTGGCGGCGGCAGCAGAGGAGCGCACTGGCCGGGCCAGGAGCTGGAGACGCCTGGAAGGCTTGAGCGCGGCAGCGTGTCAGAAGCAAGAGCCAGAAATTCAAAGCAGAGTGATGAACTACCTTTAATAGGAACCTACAAGTTTTGAGACGTGGAGTGCAATACATTGAGCTCTCCCTGTTTTGTTAATGAGAAATCTAATTTTTAATTTTTTTTGCCTTTTTGAGATAGGGTTTCACTACCTATATAATAGACAAGGACGGAGTGTGGAATTCTTGAGGGTGGGCCTCCCTGCTGGCTGCGTTCTAACTAGTATAATGGATCCAGATGTGGGGGTGACACTCCGTGCTGAGGTTACCAGAAGATTGTACCCGTGATCTGCTGGTGCTCTGCTGTGTTCTCTCTTTTTTAAAAAAAATGTATTTGGTATAGGGTCATTAGGGTCTCAGTATACAGACTGGACTTGTAGTAATCTTCCTGTTTTCAGCCTCCCAGGCGCTGGGATCACAGACACGCACCACCACGCCCCGTCTCAATTTCCGTTGAACCCCGGTTGAACCCCGGTCCCTGCATCTACCTAAGCAGGTGCTTTAATCCACTGAGCCTTCAGGCCGGCTCCCCCTGCTGTGTTCTTGGCCTGAAGGACAGAGCTGGCCTCCTGGAAGGAGGGCCTGGGCCTACAGTCAGGGAGGACCCTGGGGCTGTCCCTCCAACAGCCCAGGAAGAACAGAGCCACAATGCCGGAGCGTGTGCCACCTGAACACCCAGTGGAGATGTCAGGCCATCAGGTGGCGAGTAAATATCAATGGGATTAATGCTTGCAAATGTTGGTAGTATCTTGAGTCATCAATTGCTAAATATAAACTCAGCTATTCTTAAGGAGGGGAAGAGGGGTTGAAGAGAAGGGGAGTGGGAAAAAAGAATCAAGATATTTGTACAGGTACAAATTCCTATGATGTGATCATGATATTTAAAATGTGCCAATAAAATTAATTTTTAGATAAGGAATTCTTGGCCAGGCATGGTGGTGCAGGCCTACAATCCCAGCACTCAGGAAGCTGAGGCAGGAGGATTACTGTGAGCTCAAAGGCAGCCTGGACTGCTCTTAAGGTTTATTGTAGGAGTCACCTCCATGTCCTTGTCCCGGTCCAAGAAGCCAATATTTGTCATCCCAAAGTTACATTATTGGAATCCCATCAAGTTGATTCCAATCTACCACTTACAATGCAACCCATGGTGAAAATAAAGACACTAAATTATATTTGCAATCATTGGAGAGCCAAGGGGCTCTAAGTCCAGCCACGAAGATGGATTCCCAGAACCAAGAGAGCGACCCAAGGCC